GTTACCAACCAATCATCATCGTCCATAAAATACAGCAGTTATTGCATACTTCGTATGCAATAACTATATAATATTCATTCGTAATTGTTCTGAGTTAGCCCATACACTTTATGACTGTTATTCATTAATTGTATATAATCCGTAAACTTATTAAGAATGTAAATATAAATTAAATAGGCTTGTATACTGTGCAATAATAATTTAATTATTTATTTATCTTACCTCGTTTAATATATCCGATAAATTTTGCAAATTGGGAAGTGTTTTAAGCTCCACGATGTGTGGTGGTCTACGTGACTGTGTGTATTTATATCCAAAGTTAGTTTTATCATTAAAATTTATATAACGCATTCATCTAACCAGGTTGCTCAAAGCTTATCTTCAATATTTTGAATATTAACTAATCTATTAAAAGGAATAGGTGTAGCTAGGCATAAATCGGTTTCAGCTTTCACAACCTTGAAGCTGAGTTGGGTCGATTGTACTGCGCACGTCCACATGATCTGATCTCTGGGTCAAGTTAATTTTGTTTAGATTATTATTCTGTTTTATGTAGAGATATTCGGTTTGTAGACATTTATTATCTGCTATGTATAATTAAAATATTCGTTTATTTTTATAATTTTATACCTTTATAATATAATTTAGCAAGAACAAACTCCGGTTTTATTTAATCGAAATATAAATATATAATTTAATGGGCGTTAATATTATACAAATGTTTTAAATATGATGAACCGATTCTTTGCAAAAGTAATATTTCACCTAAACATTTAAATGGTCTAAATATTCTGAACTACATGTTTTAATCTCCAAAGATCTATAGTAAAATTATCGGGTACATCAGCAGGAACACCATCAGGAACATCGTCGAAAAGTAATGCAGTCGGAATATCTATTTGATATTGAGGAATATTTGCATCATCACAAGGAACTTCTCCAAATTCGACACCACTATTATTCTGAACATGTAAAGTATCTTGAAGATACATTTGTGTCATATTGTGAAGAGGTGCTGTTCCAAAAGACTTTGCAATTAAAGGAATAGACGGAGTTGAACTGTTTCGAAGGTAAAGCAATGCAAGAAGTGCAAACGTACCATTCAAGTGAGGAGGAAATATTTTTATAGCAATATAAATTTGAATGGTGGTACGTTGAGAAAAATAGATTGCTACTTTTTCATGCACATGGTTTAAACTTTCGGTGCTTGCAATTTCTACTACCAGAGTTGGGAATGGGCGTCACGTTGAACTGCTTGCTTGTGAGAGTTGAGGTTGTCGGCGATTATATGGGCGAATGCAAATATCTGGACGATAGACACTATTTGCACCACAATAATATCAACTTCACCCATAATCCACAATTGATCATTCCAGTTAGTCATAATGCCAGTTAACATTCCTTGCACTCCTGCATGATGTTCAAGGCATTTCATAAGCCTCGATTTTTCCATCCATCAAATGATATTTGACGGAAATACTTGGTTCTTCTTTGCAAAATTTGAGATATGTATTAAGTGTAACTTTCCTATCAATTATAATTCCTTTTCTTTTTATTTCTTCGACTCCTTCTTGTCGCCTGACAGCAAGAAGTTTGTGCCTTGCTGAAGAAAGCGCTTCGGACCACTTAGTGAATAATGTGCTTTCCAAGAGAGACATGATATTTAAATGATGAGAATGACTTTTTACCGAAATTCAATTTTGACTCTTAAATAGTGAATCGCATAACTAATTTGGGCATAGGGTGTTACTCATTAAAAAGGCCATTTTATTTTCTATGATACCGCATAAAAAAAATTATTAAAATTGCAGATAATTAGTAGTTTCTTACGTAAGATTAGAACGAACACAAAGAAAATTGGTTTATTACATAATTAGTGTATGCATAAGTTTTTCTAATTTCAGCTGATAGAGCTGTGCACGTTACTATTATTTATGCATTTCACGGATAAATTAATGACCCTGCAAAATTTAGCAAATATTAAAGGTTGAAAACCATTTTTAACTATAGCGCAGAAACTACATTGATCTTAGATAATCTGCTAAAGTTACGTCATTAAACAAAAGTGATATCGCATAATTGTTTTCATAATGATTTAAATGGTGTTCATATCGATATATGAAACAGTATGCCGCAATTAATTCACGTTATGCATGATGAAAAATTTAAATGAGTCTTACCGTTAATCCATTTCAATCCACTTTAACGTGTTAAACATAATGACGATGCTAATAATAATGACATATAAACTTTGGTATCTTGTTATATTCATTATTCTTTTTATAAAAACGGATCTTTTTCTTAAAATAAACGCAGAGGAGAAAAATAATGGATTTATTCAACGAGAACCGGATTTAGATAAAAGTGATAGACCAAACAACATACTTGTTGGATCTGTAATTGGCGGTGAGTTTTCTCGAGGCATTTATTATTTGTCTCTGTATCTATCTGTTTACTTATTTATTTATCTTATTTCATTTTTTATTTATTTTTTAATTTTATTGATAACTTAAAAGGAGGGAGCCATCTCAATCCCATGTTGGAAATTTGCAAGATTTTAGAGGATCGTGGATATAAAGTAAGCTATCAAATAAATAAACGTTTATTTATACTTCTTTACTTTCTCTCATCCGATCTATCCTTTCATAAAGGTAACATTAGCAGCTCCTGGAAATTTTACAGCTAAATCTACTTTATACAATTCATTTCCGCAAATAATTACTGGAGAACCTTCTTATACTTATTCATCTCCAGAGTTTATGGAAATATTTTTTAATAAATATACTTTTAAAAGTTTAGCAAATGGAAGAATGAAGTCTCTTAAACGATATATTGAATACTTTAATAAGTATTTGCAAGCTTATAAAGAAACTAAGGCTGACTTGTTTTTTTGTGACTATGTGGCAAATGAAGCATGCTTTGATCTAGCATGGAAATTAAAAAAGCCTGTCGTTGGGTATGCTAGCAGTACAATGTGTACGTATTAGTAATAAAAATTTTCTGAGCCATTGGGTATTAGCGGAAACGAAGTTTCCGTTTGTACACATACGAACCATGGTATTTTTGTCAAATACTCCATGATTTTGATATAGTGATCAGTGTATTTTTTTATTTTTTAATGCATTAGGCGGATATAAATACTATATAGTTACTTATTGATTACTCGTTGTCAACTTTTTTGTCTTCTACTTTATTACAGTTTTTACTCCTCCGCCTCCCTTTAGATCAGATCCGATGACGGATTGTCATGTAAACATGGAAAATGAATCATTCTACAATCGGTTTATATGTGCAGTAGTACAGCCATTACGACTTAGTTGGCATTTTCGAAAAAATCTAAATTATCTTAATTCTCAAAGAGCTAAAGTCGGTGTTAGTAAACATGATGACTTCAGAGGAAGAATAATTAATACTTTATTTTTAGTTGATAATTTCTTCGGATTTGAGGTAAATTTTTTAATTTTTTGTTAAAAATACCTCTTAATTGATTTCATTGCTTTCATCGTAGCTCTCATCCGCTTGGCCTCCAATTCATCAAGAAATTGGGCCTATTTTACCTGATACGTATCCAAATTTATCTTCTGATCTCGAATTATTTCTTTCCACACATCCTAGAGTTATGTATATTGCTCTTGGGTCTAATGTATTTACTACTCCTAAAAATTATGCCATACTTTTACAGTCTGCTCTTGAACTAATCAACCAGAATATTCTTGATGGTGTGATCTGGGCAACTGTAAGATTTAATGAATCGGAACTGCCATCCACATTTACACTTTCTACTGGTGATGTTATACCAACTTCAAATATTTTAGATAATTTATATCCAGATATTCTTATCACAAAGTATGCCCCTCAGTTTGCAGTACTCTCTCATGAGAATACTAAAGTGTTCTTAAGTCATGGTGGCATAGGTAGTAGCCATGAATCTATGTATACAGCTACTCCAATGTTAGTACTTCCAATAGC